CCACTTTCCTCCATCTTTTTTTTCCCACCTTGTGTTTTAAGACAGGGTCTAACTATATGGCCTAGGCTGGCCCACAACTGGTGGTACTACTGCCCCAGCCTTCCAAATGTTAGGGCTTATAGGTGCATGCTATCATACCCAGCTTCAAAGCCATTTTTTTTTTTCTAGACACAGTCTCAGTTCATAGACTAGGTCAAGCCTCAGGATCTAGATAGAATAGGAACTCCAAAATAAGATACAGAATAGAGAAATTTGGGAAATCTGGCAATTAGAGCAAGTATGTCTAGAAAGCTGGGCAAAATCCAGACTAGTGTCTGCTAAAGGATTATCAGAAGCCTTCATGCTCAAAAAGGCTCTTATTTAAACACTGTCTATGGCCACATTGCAAAGTTGAGTGGCTGTGACAAGAAACTACATGGTCTACAAAGTCTAACATATTTACTATCTTGCTATTTACAGAAAAAATTTAACAGTCCTTCCTCTAACCATTAAAGACCCATATAATTTCTTTGATCTTCTTTCCCAAACATTCCATATTCATCTTGCTGGATTCTTTCTTTTTTATCAAATAGGCCAGGCACACTCCTATCTCATGGCTGTTTCCTCTGCCTGGAACACTTTCATCCTAAACATCTACATAGTTTTTTTGTCTTGCACTGAAGTCTTTGTTCAAATGTTACCTCCATAGTTAGTCCTACCCTAACCCTCAGCTTAAACTTGTAACTCACACTCCCTGCATCACACTTCCAAACTCCTTACTGACCTCCACAGTCTTTTCCACAGCAGGTATCACCTTCTAACATTTTATTTAACATCTATTGCTGTCTACTTTTACAAACTAAAATATAAACTCCACAGTTGTAGACCCAAAGTAAACCCTAGTATACAATTAGGCATATACAGTTGTTGAGCATATTAAATTTCCTTATACTAAAGTTTGTTATAAGGATGCAGTTCAGTGGTAAAGCATTTGCTCAGCATACTTGAGATCTTGAGATTAATCTCCAGCACCACACAAAAATAGAAGTGGGAGGACCTTGGACTTCCCACAGGGCAGAGAATCTGGACTGCTCTTCATTCTCGAGAGGAAGGGGGAATGGAGTGGGGGGGAGAGGGGGAGGGGGCAATGTGTGGGAGGAGGGGGAGGGAAATGGGGAGAAGGCAGAAATTTTATTTTTCAACAACTAAAAAAAAATAAACAAAAAAATAAAGAAAAAAATGCATAATAGCAGCATAGACACCAAGAGAAACAATAAATGGGACCTCCTGAAACTGAAAAACTTCTGTAAAGCAAAAGATGCAGTCAGCAAGACAAAATGGCAGCCTACAGAATGGGAAAAGATCTTCACCAACCTCACATCACACAGAAGACTGATCTCCAAAATATGCACATAAGTCAAGAAATTGGTCATCAAAATAACAAATAATCCTATAAAAAAATGGGACACAGACCTAAACAGATAACTTTCAACAAAGGAATCTAAAATGACTGAAAGACACTTAAGAAATGTTCAACATCCTTAGCCATCAGAGAAATGCAAATCAAAACAACTCTGAGATTCCATCTTACACCTGTAAGAATGGCCAAGATCAAAAACACTGATGACAACTTATGCTGGAGAGGTTGTGGGGAAAGGGAAACACTCCTGCATTGCTGGTGGGAATGCAAGCTGGTACAGTCCCTTTGGATGTCAGTGTGACGATTTCTCAGAAAATTAGGAAACAACCTTCCTCAAGACCCAGCAATATCACTTTTGGGTATATATCCAAAGGATGCTCAATCGTGCCACAAGGACATGTGCTCAACTATGTTCATAGCAGCATTGTTTGTCATAGCCAGAACCTGAAAATAAACTAAATGCCCCTCGACTGAAGAATGGATAAGCAAAATGTGGTACATTTAAAGCAATGGAGTACTGCACAGTAGAAAAAAATAATGACATCTTAAAAATCTGCAGGCAAATGGATGGAGCTAGAAACATCATATTGAGTGAGGCAACTTAGACCCAGAAAAACAATTATCATATGTACTCACTCATAAATGGTTTTTAAACATAAAGTAAAGCAAACCAGCCTGCAAATCACAATCCCAGAGAAACTAGACAACAAAGAGGACCCTAAGAGAGACATACATGGATTTAATCTATACGGGAAGTAGAAAAAGACAAGATCTCCTGAGTAAATTGGGAGCATTGGGACCTTGGGAAAGGGTTGAAGGGGAGGGGAGAGGAAGCAAGGGGAGCAGAGAAAAATGTATAGTTCAATAAAAATCAATAAAATGTGTAATCTTGCCGGGCGATGGTGGCGCACGCCTTTAATCCCAGCACTCGGGAGGCAGAGGCAGGCGGATCTCTGTTAGTTCGAGAGCAGCCTGGTCTACAGAGCTAGTTCCGGGACAGGCTCCAAAGCCAGAGAAACCCTGTCTCGAAAAACCAAAAAAAAAAAAAAGTGTAATCTTTTCTAAAAAAATGCATAATAGCCTCAATTTAGTCAGAGTTCTCTAAAATCAAGAATCTGAACTTTAAGAAATAAAATTAAAAACCGTTGGTCTACAGACAAAAAAACCTCTAGAATGTTCCATCTACTCATCTGTTTATCTATTAGCCACCCATTAATCTAGTATTTACTGTATGTCTAACCATGTCAAGGTGTGGGGAAAGCGTAGAACAAAACTAGGTAAGATAAAACTCATAGATGAACAATATAATAGAACACAGAATGTGTAGCCTAATGCTGCAATGCAAACTCAGATCTGCAAAGGATAAGGCCAATGTTTTTTTTCCTCACTATGTTATTAATTACTGATTGCATAAAAATAATCTTTAACAGCAAAATAGTGGGAAATGTGGGTGCCATAATGAGGAGAATAAGTAATTTTTTGAATACAAAGTCAATCTCCACTGTAAAATTATTAAATAATGCACATGGAAAATATTGTTTTGATGGAATATATGTATTATAAATTAATTTGATACAAGGAAACATATGCATTTATTTAATGAACCCTAAATGAATACTAATGGTGGAATGGTATCATCTTAGCCTTTAAGAGGCTCATATATGGAGAGCAAACAGGAAAGAACTTAAACAAACAGACAATGTGATAGGTTAGTGGCTCAGGGTTTCTACTGCTATGATAAAACACCAATACCAGGCCTGGCACAGTGGTCCATGAACTTAATCCCAGCACTTGGGAGGCAGAAATGTGTGGATCTCTGTGAGTTCGAGGCCAGATTGGTCTACAAAGCGAGTTCCAGGACAGTAAGGGCTGTTACACAGAGAGCGCCTGTCTCAAAAAACCCAAAACCAGGAAAAACAAAGTAACAAACATCCTCACAAAAAAACAAAAATCCACCATAATCAAAAGTATCTTAGGGAGAAAAGGGTTTATTTCATCTTACAATTTGCATAATCCAAGGAAGTCAGGACAGAAACGCAAGGTGGGAAATGATGCAGAGGCCGTGGAAGAGTCTACTGCCTTGCTCCTATGGCTTGTTCAAACTGCTTTCTTATAGTACCCAGGACTAGACTGGGAGTGGCACCCCCCCCCCCACACACACATGGTGGGCTGGAACCTCTCATATCAGTCATCAATCAAGAAAATGCATCACAGGCTTGTCTATTTATGGGCATTTTCTCAATTGAGTCATTTCCAAAATAACCCTAGCTTGTGTTGAATTGACATAATATTAGACAGCAAAGTCCATAAATATTAGGGGGACACTTTTCCTTTATAAATACTAAAATGTTATAGCTAAGATAAATAAAATCAGCCAAAAGAAATTTTTAAAAAACATGACAAGTGCTCATATTTGTTAGATAACAAGTCTGCAACCTGATATGCTAATCAGCAGTGAACACCTAGTGTCATTGTCTTAAGTTATGACATTACAGAGACTCCTTTCTCTGAAGGTGTACAGGAAAATCTAATTTCAACCGTCTGCAGCTTACATACAGTAAGACTATGGAATGGAAGGTCAGTCCTTCCTTCCCACTTACAAGCAGTACCACCTTAGTATGTTTGGAACAGAAAGTGAAGTGATACTGTACCTCAGATATTTTAGAAAACATTACTTGTACTGCCATGTGCAACATAGAAGCCTATGAGAATGATTTTCAAAACTAGTCACCAGACTATCTATTCAAATATACCTTTCCATACTCAAATGTTTATAGAGCCATCTATTCAATCATTCTGGATCTTAAATTGACAATTAATGAATTTACTGAACATGGACTTATAGCTTAGAGTTATAGGCTTATAGCTTTAGAGTTATAGCTTATTCCTACTAAGAATGAAATCACTCAGCTTCAGAGTTCAGTTAATTCATGAGCTCTGACACTAAAAGGTTAAATACCACTATGAGTATTATTTTGAGAAAGGATCTCACTATGTTTTTTCAGGTTGGCCTTGGACTCCTGAACTGAACTGATTCGTCTGTCCCAATTTCCCGAGTAGCTGGGCCTAAGGTGTATATCACTATGCCCACAACCAATATGAATGTTGAAAGGAATAGGCTTAGTAGTAAAACCATTTATTGTTTTTTCAGAGGATCCAAGTTCCCAGCTATGCTGGATGGTTCACAACAACCTGTAAATCCAGTTCCAGGAGATCCAACACCCTCTTCTAGCCTCTGGGGGTACCCACACACATACACATAAATAAAAATAAATCTTTAAAAAAAACCATGAGCCGGGCGGTGGTGGTGCATGCCTTTAACCCCAGCACTCGGGAGGCAGAGGCAGGCAGATCTCTGTGAGTTTGAGGCCAGCCTGGCCTACAAGAGCTAGTTCCAGGACAGGCTCCAAAGCTGCAGAGAAACCCTGTCTCGAAAAACCAATCCCCCCCCCCCCCAAAAAAAAACCAAAAACCAAGCTGAATAGCCTGGAAGCAACATCTGAAAAGATTTCCACACATGCTCTGTGGAATGACACCGTCCTGCACATGAGAGGGGAGACTCTTGGTTTTAGCTCATTCCACTACTTCTCAGGGCACTTACCTGAATACAAGCCCCTGTCTTCAACTTGCACAGGCTGCAAACTAAGGCCCACCGGCTAGGTGGAATATGGGAGATTTTTGTGATGGGTTCCATTCTCTCAGGACAAGCGATGCTGACCTACAAATAAAATATCATAAGGCAGAAGCACCAAGGCATCTCAGAAGTACTTTTCACAAACTATAAATGATGTTATATGAAGCTGAGAACATTAAAACAATGAGGTAAGCCGTATCTTCCAAGGTTAGTATGAAACTAAGAATAAACAAAACAGATCTCTTTTCATTGCTCAGTCCTTCAGTTACTTCTAGCAATGTAAACAATTCATATATGTGATGTGAGTGCACGAGGGTAGACTAGGTAGTCATGGTTACCTTAAAGAATCAAGATATATCCATCTTTACTTAGGAACCAAAGAAAGCTACTAAGGAAAGGAAAGAAAGTTTAGAAATTCTAGTATCTGTTTTATGTTAGAGATGGTACCACATGCCTTGCTATTTCATTTAATCAACTAAATATAAAGACAGGCGGTGACAGATCTTTATATTTGGTTCACAAAGCAGGATAATATTGTTGGAAAGTAGCAGCAAATTTATGTAATGAAGAGACTGCAGCATGTAATTAGAAAGAATGAGGATGATATCACTTCTAAACCCCAATCTTTAAAACTATGTAACTATTATTAGCTTACCCTACTCTCTCAGCCAAAGTAGCTTCAAAGTGAAATTAAGTCTTTGGGGATGCTGAAAGGAAAGGTATACTTTAAAAAAGATGAAAAAATTCTTTTCCATCTGGAAACAAAGGGTCAATCTAATTACTGCTAAAAATGTGTTCTTGTTTCTCTTTTATAACTTTATACATGCCTTTTAAAAGAAAGAAACTGTTTTCTAAATATTTATTCTATTTGTATGCATATTTTGCCTGCATGCATATATATGTGCACCACACGTATGCCTGGTGCCATGGATCCCCTGCAACTGGAGTTACAGATAGTTGTGAGCTGCCATATGCGTGCTGGGACTTGAACCTGGGTCTTCTACAGCCACAGCTAGTGCTCCTAATCACTGAGCCATTTTTCCAGACCCAAGAAATAAATATTTAAAATTATTATTTTTTGTTTTATTTTCTGTGTATGAGTGTTTAGCCTATATGCATGTCTGTACACCATATGCATGGACTGTCTACAAAGGTCTGAAAAAAAAGTATTGAATTCTCTGGGAATGGAGTTACAAATGGTTTTAAGCCACTATATGGGTGCTGGGATTTTGGTCTGGAAAAGTAGCCAATGCTCTTAATCCCTGGACCATCTCTCCAGCACCAGAAAGAAACAGGTTTTAAACAGTGAATAACTATCAAACTAAGATGATTCATCTAGTACAAGTTATATCCAGATCAGGAAAGAGAGATCTTTAATAATTCAAAATCTAGAAATCAAGAATTAGAAGCCCTAAGAGAAGTTTTTTGAAAGTTTTTTTTTTCTTTCAAAACAGGGTTTCTCTGTGTAACAATTCTGGTTGTCCTGGCACTCACTCTGTAGACCAGGCTGGCCTTGAACTCACAGAGATCCACCTGCCTCTGCCTCCCAAGTACTGGGATTAAAGGTGTAAGCCACCACTGCCTGGCTAAAAGTTTTAGTATTTTTATTTTTGAGATAGCATCTATGTAACTCAGGGTGGTCCTTAACTCATGACCTTCTTATTTCAGCCTTCTGAGTGTTAGGATTATAGATGATTTGTTTTACTTTTATGTGTGTGGTACTAGGGATCAAGTCCAGGCCATTGCACATGCTAAGCAAGTGCTCTACCTCTGAGCTATATTCCCTAGCTCTTGTTTTTTTCTCTGAGACAAGGTCTCACTATAGCTTAGGCTACTCTTGAGTTTACTATGCAGCCCAGGCTTTGAACTTTTGACTATCCTGCCTTTCCAACCAAAGATGCAGGTTTACAGGCATATGTACCAGGGCTGGCTTCAACCTTTTTAAATTTAATTTTTTGGTAATGGAGAGCTGCTTTGTTCATATTAGGCAAATACTCTACCACTAGCTACACCCTAGCCCAAATCTGTGGGTTTTGTTTGTAGGTTTACAGGGTCTAAGTATGTAGGTTGGCTTTTAGCTCACTAGACAGTTCCAAGCTGGTTTCTAGATCTTAATCTCCCAAGTATAGGGATTACAGGAATGTACTACTATGCTTAGTTTAGAAGCCATGTTTTAATTAAGTTAATGAACAATAGCAGGATGAATAAACAGTATATCCATAAAATGGCAAACTACTAAGCAATGTAAATTGGTGAACTACTGATACATATTACAACATGGAGTGCTAGCCAGACATAAAATAATACTTACTGTATGAATTCCTTTTACATGAAGCTCAAAAATATATAAAACTTATCTATAGCTGATCAAAATCAAAATGGTTATTATTCCCAGGAAATAAGGAAAGGAGGGGATATAAGGGAGCCTTCCAGGATGCTATTAGTATAGTTCTGTGGTATTTCATGTTTTAGACTAATTTGTGGCTACAGGTGTTTTTTTTTTTGAGACAGGGTTTCTCTGTAGCTTTGGTTCCTGTCCTGGAACTCACTCTGTAGACCAGGCTGGCCTCAAACTCACAGAGATCCGCCTGCCTCTGCCTCCTGAGTGCTGGGATTAAAGGCATGCACCACCACCGCCTGGCTGTGGCTACAGGTATTTTAAAGTAAGGTAAAGTTTACTTTTAAAATGTTTCTCACACTTTGTCTTTTTTTTAAAAAAGTAGTGTGTTTATTTTAAAAATAGTAAATAGTTTTAAAATATTTGTTTATAAAAATATTACTATATGTGTATATGTGTAGAGGTACTTCTGGAGACCAGAGGTCATCAATTCCCTGGGAAGCAGAATTAAAGGCAGTCAGTTGTGAGCTGCCTGACATGGTATTGGAACTGAACTCAGATCCTCTATAAGAGCACTGTGAGCTCCTAAGAGCTATGCCATCTCCATCTCCCACACTCTGGTCTTTTATGCCTCTTCTCTCAAACAAATTTATCAAACACCACTGAAAGTACCATTCACAAATACATAAGTTTGGGCTAAAATGCACACTTGTGTCCAAGAAGACCTGAGGTAGCACAGAAATCTCAGAAATATAGGTGAGCAGGAAGCATTTCCATGACAAGTATCTGTCTGTCTAAACATCATGGGAAGTAGGACACCCTGGAGTAAATGGTCCCAGATTCAGATGGTTTCTTACTTCTGGTATCCACAGGGCACAACTGACATGGGCCCATTTAGTCCCTGTCCTGGTGGTCTTCATAGCTCCACCTTTCTTAGGACACAAAACACACTGTGGATAAATGCCCAGGACACAGGAACGACACAGCCAGCTGCCTTCTGGAATCTTAAGGATGCCATAGCAAGCCTGTAGGCATGAGGAAGAGAGGGAAGAATGGTCAGTGTATCTGTATTAGCACTAACAACAATTTTGACATAGTTAAGAAAATATTCTCTGTTTTGGGGATAAAGACAAATCTAGCTGAAGAAGTTCTTATCTAGGATTTAGCAATTTTTAAACACTAAAAACGAATGTAGCAGCATTTGAACTAAGATTAGCATGCCTATCTAGATAGAAAAAGACAAGGTGGAGATTCATCCCAAAGTTAGCGAATTATTAACAGAGAGTTGGGTTACAGACATTTTTATTTTTAAAAAAATGGATTCTTTTTCCTGTTTTCCAAATTGTCTCCAATGTTTATATATTGTAACAGGTCATCAAATCAGTACTGGAGTAACTTCAACATGTCATGTACTATTGTGATCAAGAAAAAAGGTGATAGAAAATAGTGAACTATATGAATACAAATCAGCTAATGTTTATAAAGAGTCTAATACGACCTGGTACATGAAAAACATTCAGCAAATTGTAGAAATTATTTGTTTAGGTTGAACCAGGAGACTTGTGAATTGAATCACAATAATCCATAATGAGCTCTGAGAGCTTTTTTAATTCTTTATGTAATGATATTAGAAAATAATAAACTCAGGGAGGTGGAAGATACTTGAAATTATTCTAGATCCCCCATCTTCAATTCTGTCCAGTTCCCCTCTTAATTGCTCTAATGTATTTCTGAAAAAAAAAAAATGCTTCCAAAATATTTTGCCCACTTTGACTACTTGCCATGAACATATTCTCTTCTGACTGAAAAGACCTCTGTGGTTTGACATACATTTTGACATTCAGCATGAGTGCCACTTGTTGGAAGTTGTTTTTTAATTTTTATCTCTTCCATGCATTTCCACATGCATTTATAATCTATAAAATCAGCTGGTGGAGAGGTGGTGGTGGCACATGCCTTTACTCCCAGCTCTCAGGAGGCAGAGACAGGCAGATTTCTGTGAATCTGTGGCCAGCCTGGTCTACAGAGTGAGTTCCAGGACAGCCTTCAAAGCTACAGAGAAACCCTGTCTTGAAAAACAAAAACCAAAAAACCGAAACAAAAATCACCTGGCACTCTGGTAAACTGGTAGTTTCTTTTTAATCATTATACTGTGGTTTTCTTGGGGGAAGGGGCAGAAAGTATAAAGTTCTTCATCACTGTGTCACCATAATGCAGCATGGTCCTGGCTCATAGATGGTGCTTAGTGCATTTACAGTATTTGTTACATAAACTAATAATACGAATAAAATATACAATATGTTCAGAAGATTAAAAATTTAGTTAGGTAGAAGTCAAGAATTGAATTGAACTACATCTTGGAAGATATGTACACTTTGATAACCTAAGGTAGGAGACAAGACTGTGTATGGGTATCCTTGTGTGTGTGTGATTGAGTGAGTGTGTGTGCTTGTATGTGTGTAGGAAGATAAGACTGTGTATGGGTATCCTCTTGTGTGTGTGTGTCATAGGTTAAGCTGAATGTCTTCCTCAATTGCCCTCCATATTGTTTCTTGAACCAGGGTCTCTTAAGAATTTGATTCAGCTAGATTGGCTGGGCAGCAAGTACCAGGGATCCTAACGCTGCCTCTCCATGTGTGCCCCTGTAACTTAGTTCTTTATGTGTGTTTTGGAAACTCAGGTTCTCATGCTTTGGCATCAAGTACTTCACCAACTGAACCAACCACCTGTAGCTCTCTCTCAGAAGATATTTTTAAATTCAGACATGGCTGTAAAATGAAGACAGGATAGTGTTAGCAATATTCATCACTGTACCTCAAGTGACTTTGTTTTACCACAGAACAGAGCATAGGATATGGGTAAGAGTTGAAACAAGTGCTGATATCATTAAAGCTAACATTATTAATATGACAGTGTGACAGAACAAGTGTCAACTAACTTGTGTAAAGTCATTTAACCTTTCCTTACATTGTTTGTAATACTAAGATGAGAAAAATCTCCAATGTAGATGATGCAAGAAGCATAGGGACTTCCTGAGTGAATCAAATGAGAAAAATCTCAATGGTCTAGACATGAAATGACACAATAAAGGCCTAGGTTTAGCCTCTTGGGGGAATATTAGTAGGTAAAGCAGCTTAGGGACCACAAGCAATGTTTCTAGAAGTACTGAAGAACAGCAAAGCCTAATTTTGATTTTCACCTTTAAATATAAGACATTGTTCAGATATGAGTGTTAGAAATAATAATCACTGAGCTTCAAAAATGCTGACCATTGGAACAATGAGATATCAGATTAAGGACACTTGGACTAAGCCTGATGATTTTAGTTTAAACTTCTGAACTCCAATACTAGAAGAACCAAATCCCAAAAGTTGTCTTTTGACTTTAACACTAATATGTTGACCTTGTATGAGGGGGCAGTCTCCATTTCCACTAACCTGATGCACACAGACGTTACACTTATCACAGAATACCATATCATTCCCTTCTTCACTGTCTGGAGACCGGCACACGTCACAGATCACATCTTCATCATATTCTATTCCTAGCCCTTCTTCTGTCTCAATAGCATGGTTCATATTTTGATGGCAGTGGCGTTCTAGAACTTCTATTGTTTTTTCCATAAGCGTCTCATCAATTGGCCCATAACCTGCACAAAAATAAAACCAATAACTCTTCTGTCAGCTGTCATTCCCAAATCATCAACTGCAGGGGTAGGCAGGATGCTAAGGGACAAAGCCATCTTTTTTTTTTTTCCTGATCTAAAGCAACCAGATTTCAAGGATTTTTTTTACTAGAGAAATTCTAACATTGAGTAAAATAAAATTAGTGTTTAATACATTAATGAAGAAATACATCACAGCACATTTTCTTAAAAATTTACAGATGCTTACATTTTTTTTTTTTACTAAATCCTAGTCAGGGGGCTAGTGAGATGACTCAGTGGGTAAAGACACTTGCTGCTAAGTCTGATGACTTGATTTTAATTCCTGGAAACCTCATGGTGGCAACAAAGAATCAATTCTCAAAAATTCTCCTCAACACACATATACATAAATAAATATAAAATTAAAAAATAAATCCTAGCCGGGCGGTGGTGGCCCACGCCTGTAATCCCAGCACTCGGGAGGCGGAGACAGGCGGATCTCTGTGAGTTCGAGACCAGCCTGGTATACAAAGGGAGTTCCAGGACAGGCTCCAAAGCTACAGAGAAACCCTGTCTCGAAAAAAATAAAAATAAATCCTAGTCAATCTCCTGCTAAAACCTTAATTAATTTTCTCTTATTCCTACTAATAAGACTTGAACCAAAGGTGTAACTTTGAACACTTTAATTTGTAGCATTTAAATCTTTTACTTGTTTGAGCACAAATAATGTATTAGTAACTTAGCTTCACTAAAAATACTTAGTGGTCATACCAAGAAGTTTTCATTTGATAATGTATTAACCCATAAAAGAAAATCCTAGGTAATATGTATATATGGATATGGATATGAAATACTGTTTTTCAAAACTGATTTAAAAAAATCAAATACCATTTTTCAATAACAAGCAATAATAGAAACCTCTCAACATTCACAAAGATTTAAATGTAATTCTGAAATTACCCCTTTTCTTTCTGATTTGTTTTTCTTTTTATACTTTTATTTTTCTCCTCACCCTCCATATTTAACCCAACTGAAAGATTCATAGGGCTGATATTGGTAAAAACTAAGTATTTTTCTTCTTAAGAGGACCAATGATTTTTGGAACATTATTTAGTTACTTTTAGAAACTAAGGAATAATTTTCAAAATGATTCAAGATAAATTTATCCAACAATATTTTTAATGTAAGACATCTAAAGAATTTAAAAATATGTATGAATTACCTTTTAAAATTTTATCTACTTACAAAGCAAAGATTTTCTCTGGCTTATTTTCAGCCTAGACATACCATATACATATACATATACTTACATACACATATGTATATATCAAATACACATATAGATATGCAGGAACAAAGCATATAGTGTCTAGTCTGGATATATACTCAAAGAATTCTATATCCCATCACACAGATATTTGCATATCCATGTTTTTTACTGTTGCTCTATTGACAATAGCAAGAAAATGGAATCAGCCCAAACAAATGCTCAACTGATAAATGAATAATGCAAATATAGTATAATTTTATCAATTCATAAAGAAAAAATGAAGTTCACAAGAAAGCGGAAATAACTGGAAAATATATTGTGTGTGGTAACATGGTCTCAGAAAGATAAGCACCATGTTTTCACTCCTATGTGGAACCTATAGTCTAATTTTTAATATATTTATATTTGTGTAGGAATGATTATGTAGAGTTCAGGAAAATAGAAAGGGACCTATGACAGGAGAAAAAAAGAGGCCACAATTAACAAAGATGGGTGGGAAAGGTAATAGATTTGAAAACACAAGGGGGAATACCAAATATAAGGGTTTAAGCAGGGATGGGAAGTGGGGAGATGAGGGACTGAAGACTGGATAAACTAAATTTTAGTATGTATGAAAATTTAATAAACTTGCTACTTTATAAGCTAATTTTAAAAAGCAGAGTTATAGAGTCTAGTTATAAAAACTTGGATTCAAATTCCAACTTTATCTCATATTAGCTATGCAAACTTTGTTATCTTACTGTTCTTATCTATAAAATGATAATACTAAATTCATTAACTTGTGAGGATGGGATGTTTGCTCATTGGTTAGTATTGTACCCAGTATATAACCAGCATACACATTTTAAATTCTTTAACTTGAGCAAAAATGCTTAATTTAATATTTTTAAAAGTTTATTTTAAGCTCTAAAACGTGTGACTATAACATCATTCTTCCTAAGGAAAAATCCAACACAAGGCAATCCTCCTCAACAACTCTGGATCACTTGTTCTTCTAGAGGACTTAGGCTCAAGTACCAGTACCTACATGGTGAATTGCAACCATCTGTAACTCCAGTTTTGACGGAGGAAGGTCATTGGTTAATTATAATAAAGAAACTGCTTGGCCCTCATAGGTTAGAACATAGGTGGGTGGAGTAAACAGAACAGAGTGCTGGGAGGAAGAGGAAGTGAGGTAAGACGCCTCAGACAGACACCATGCAGCTCATCGCCAGGGCAGATGCGATGAAGCAAGCCGCCAGGTCAGACATGCTGAATCTTTCCTGGTAAGACTGGTGCTACACAGATTACTAAAAATGGGTTAGGCAAAATGTGAGAATTAGCCCATAAGAGGCTAGAGCTAGTGGGCCAAGCAGTGTTTAAATGAATACAGTTTGTGTGTTGTTATTTCGGGTAAAGCTAGCCGGTGGCGGGAGCTGGGTGGCGGAATGCAACCCACAGCTCTCTCAACACAGTTTCAAGGGATTTGATGCCGACTTCTGGCCTTTACAGATACCAGGCATGTATGTAGTGCATGTACACACATATAGGCAAAACTCTCATATAAATAAAATAAATACATCTAAAATATTTAAAAACTAAAGTTCAATCAAAAACCTATTTTTTATTTTGTTGAGATTATAATATATTCACATCATTTCTCTCTCCAAACCTTTTCATATACCTTTCTCATTTTCCTTTAAACACATGGCTTCTTTATTGCTCCATGAATATATGTCTATAAATATAGGTTCCTAAATATAACCTGGTCAATCTGTATAATGCTACATGTATGTATGTTTTCAGAGTTAAGCATTTGGTACTGGATAACTAGTCACTGTGATCTCTGTTTCTCTTGCTCTCAAACATTCATTGATTGCCCGTAGTTCTTTGTGTAGGGTTGAGTACTGCACAATAACACTAAGAATGCAATAGTGGTATTCACACCTTGCTGGTTAACCAATAGCTCTCTAATTGAACTTAAAACCCACTTAACTTACTTTCATTGGTCAAATAAAAAAAAAACAACCCACTTAACAGAGGGAAACCGTACTGGAAACCTAGCTAATTACTCAATGCAAGCAAAGTCATGGATATTGAAGGAGAACCTAAAAATCACTACTTTATTAAAATCACTACTTTATTAAGCCCATATAATCCCTAACTACATTCTAAACATTTGTCCTTATATCCACAGATAAGTGTAGTCTTCACCCCTCATCAAGGAAACTTGTCTTTGAAACAAATATAGACCACCACAGAAAACCACAACCAATCAAAATGTAGAGTTGTAGAGCCAAGTCTCAATTGATATATCTACAAAACATGTCTGCTCAAGCTAAGGGAACATTTCAGATGAGGGAGCAGTATGATTGTAAAAGCAAGAAGACCAGACCAGGGAGTTTGCTGTGAGATTGTGTCTCCTAGTGATGTCAGAAGCTACACACACAAAATCTCACCAACATGAATACCTATACATGATCTGAACAAGGATGACACAAATAGACATGCTAAAGTAGACAGGGGAAAAAGCCCATGAAGCCTCACCCCTATACACACAAAACATCTCTTCTAAGATTAAATGAAATATATTGTCCTGGATAGGATGGGATCCTAGACAAGAAAAAGATTAGTAGAGAAAAAATAAAAAGCCCAAAATTCTGGAACATTAGTTAATGGTGATGGTTTCTTCATCCTGACAAATGCATCATGGCAAAGAAATATGTTAATATTAGGACACAGAATATACTTTAGGTATACATTTGTATTTTCTGCACTGAATGTCCATTTTTTCTGCAAATCAAACTTTTCCATTATAAAAAAATATAATCCTCATCCAAAGAGAATTAGTTGTAAAACATTGAACTTATAGGGCAGTTTCTTATCAAAAGAAGCACTGTGATGGTTGTGTTATCATGAATTCCATTTGCATGCAAAACCACACACTGTGGTACTTGATTATGTCTTTGTCCTTCTTTTATTCCATTCTCTATGATTTACACTCTAAATTGGCCACACCCTTATTCCTCTTAGAGAACAAATAAAGAAGAAACAAAACATACTAAGATTATAAAACAAAAATTAAGAAGTAGTTGTTGGCAGAATAGCTTCCATCGCCATGCCAAAGAGGATTTAATATAATTTTAACTTTTTCCACATGTATTCATATACTAGCTTTAACATAGAGAACAAACTGAAGGTAGCTAAGAACTACTTTGGAGATATTTTTCCATAGGCCTACCATTCTGGGCAACAAAATTATAAGCCTTATATTAAAGGGCAATGGTCATAGTAACCTGTCACTTGTAGTAGGATAGTGGGTACTGTTAAATACTGATAAACCTTTTTTTCTAACACCTGAGAGACACACCTCTATGGACTTGTCCATTAATAAGAGTGATTTTCAGGACTGATCCACAAACAGGTCTCAGTATCCTTTCTAACTAGAAGTTCAATCAACCATCACTACACTAACATTTAGCATTATGAAGCAACTTCATGAAACTTATGTGCCATCTGTATCTATGCTATTATACTGAATAAATGAAGGATCACTTAAATTTTATTACTCTATCTTAATACTGATTAAAATTAATACTGATAAAATACTGCTATACTTTATACATTTGAATAAATAGCTCATTTCTTCAAAAATAAAAATAAGTGAAAGGGTAGGTAAGAAAGGAAAGCAGATGAAAAAAGTTTTACAGAGTTCTACCAATTTAAAAAAAAATCACTGGTGAAAGTCAAAGCACAATTTACTTTTAAGAAAACAGCTTACCCATTTCTCCAAGGTCTTCATTGAGTTCTTGAAGCCAGAAGGTGTCCATGTCATCTAGGTCATATCGGCATGTAGATGCTGCCAGCTCTAGGGTATTGATATAGCCAGGCTCTGCAGACTCTGGGCTAGAGCAACGGATATATTTCCGCGGCCGGACAAAGAGAACTTCCTTTACCCTTTCAGATATAATCCTAGAAAAGCAATAGAAAGACATCGGCAACTATCAACAAATGACAGATTTCAGGTACTGACAGGATAAGCCAAATGACTCTGGCTACACAAGGGCACATGTCTTGCTATTCCTTCTGGGAGATATGGCAGATCCCTTTCTAGAATCAAATGATTCTGAAAATTCAGTTTCATCATCTGCTGTGAACTTATTGACTGATAATGATATGCTTCATTCACCTACACAGATCTGGGACCCTACTACTATTTATTCTAATAAAATGTTGATGTATTGTGTGTTCTTGACCTAATGGTCACCAAGTATATTTAAAAGGGAAAAATCTGGGATTGAGTGTTAGCTGCACAAAGGTATCATGTTTAAACATACACCTCAGCAAAACCCGTGATTTTTTTCTTCCATGGACAGACTAGGTTTTAGACTTACACAAACCTGTTTCTTTTTCCTGTCATTCATTTGTAAAGTGGTTCTGAAAAATTACTTAATTTAGATAAGGTTCAGTTTTCTTTATGAAAAAGTAGGGACAAGAATAATAAATTATTAAATAACACCAAACTTGTAAGATTATTATGCTTACATGAAATAAAGTATTTGTTATGGCATATAATAAAAACATGTTTCAGTAACATTAGTGTTATATTTCTTACTACTTTCATTATGCAAATGAGTTAAAGTCAAGAGATCATAGAGTTGCATAAACTCAAGATATGAGAGCAGCCATAGGTCTGAGCCAGGGCTACATGATGGAAAAAAATTCCTATTATTCCATCAACTTTTGTAGTGAGCTTGAGCAAATCCATGGCCTTTCTGATACCTAAGAACTCAAGGCAAGAAAACCAATCAGGGAAAGAAATGTCTACAACTTAATCTATAATTGATGGTTTAAGTACCAGATGAGGCATCAGAAAATATAACCAAAAGGAAATCTGGATTATCTTTTCTTTTCTTGGCAATTTTAAAGAACAGTGTGGGTTATCTAAAAAGGGGGGGGGGGGAGAAATACTCGTATTATCATAAAATAATGAAAACCATTCCTCTGGAAGGATTTTAGAGCTAATTTAATTCTAGAGTCATTATATGTGTAGGATAATTAATAAAACAATATCAATACATGTAATATATATAATTGACCATGTAAGTGCAGAAAGTACATATTTTCTTCTAAGCATTCTTCCCAAAGCTTATGATTTCAAATAAAGTATCTTGAATAGTTAACAAATATATATATTTGTACATTAAAATTATTCTATTATATGGAAATCCAAAAGCAATAAATATTGGAAGAAAATGCAGAAATCTTAAGCATTAACTGCAGCTAAATTTTAAAACTTTATTCAGAGGCCTGCTTCTAACTGAAAAGGACAAAATACATGCTCTCCAGAGACTTCAAGATCAAATAAATATATAGTGTGCTTCTTTGGTGCATGGCCTTACAAGGAAATTATAGAATATTAACTAATGGTTTATCTCAAGTGCTTTAAACTGTACAAGAAAAAAAGTTGATTATAAATTTTCTGGAATGAAGCTTTTGTTTATAAGGCTTCTGGAAGAACACAGAGGAGAATACATTTATGACATCAGGATAGGCAAAGATATTTTACATGAAACACAAATGCCACCAAACACAATAGGAAAAGATTGAAGAAACATACACACTAAAACTTTGGTTACAAAAAGAGAGTGAAAAAGCAATTTTTGGGGTAGACGATATTTACAATTAAAGATATACAAAAAATTCAATTAAAAACTAGGCAAAAGATTTAGGCAGACACTTCATAAATAAGGCTACCTCTTGCAGCAGATAAACAAAAGGCTCTCAACCTAACTAGCTATCATAGATATTGAAATCATAATCACTGTTATCTACCAGAACGGCTAATATTTAAAAAATTGACCCCAAACTGGTCTTTGAAGGTCTAAGTGATGGTAAGAAACGGAAGCAAATAGACCTATTGTTACATTGCTGGCTTGGGCATGAATTGATATATGCCACTTTGGGAGCAAATACAGTTATAAGATATGTACAGGATATGAACAGATATATATGTTCTTTGACCTAGCAAATATATTTTTATTATATTTAAATTTTAAATATATTTTTAATAAAAATGTACAGACATTTTATTATTACAGAGGGTAAAAAGGTTCACTTTCTACAATAGCTGGAAACAACCTAAATGTCTTACTAAAGGTGAATGGGTAAATTGTGGCATATTCAAACAATGAGATATGATGCATGAGTGAAAAATGAACTACTACATGCAACAGCATAGATGGATCGCACAAGCATAATGATAAACAAAACAATCCACTCTCAAATGAATACATACTATAGGATTCTATTTATATGAAGTTCGAAAACTGGCAAAACTGTTACCTACGGTGAGGGAGGTCAGTTACTGGCAGGGAGCAGAAGAAAGGCTTCTGGGGTGTTGATAATGTTCTATTTCTTGATCTGAGTGGCAGTTAAATGAATACGTTTAATTCATAAAAATTCATTCAGCTATACAAAAACACATTCTATATTTTCTGGATGTACATAATACTTCAATGCAAAGTTTATCATAATGATAATTAAAATGGTGATGTTACCTTAGTCATTTTTCCATTAAGTATAAGTAACTAAAGTCTGAATCTAAGAACAGAAACAATAACACCAAAATGCAAGAAAACACATAGGTAAAAGGTTAAATTAATGTAAATTTACAAGAGAAGTTACTGAATTTATTACAGAAGAGAAGATCTGTGAAAATGTTATTTTGGGATTTTTATCTTACTTTTGGCTTCTTGAGACAGGATCTCACTATGTAGCCCTGGCTATCCTGGAATTCAACATGTAGTTCAGGCTAGTCTCCAACTCACAAAGAATCCACCTGCCTCTGTTTTCTGAGTACTGTGATTAAAGACATGTGTTACCATGCCTGGAGGATTTTATTTATTTATTTTTTTGAGACAGGCTCTTGCTATGTTCCCTGCTTCAGCCTCCCAGGTGCTGGGATTATAGGTGTGCTATCATTTCCAGCCTGGGACTTTTTAGAAAACAGCTTAAATCATCATCATTTACACATGCACACATGCAGGCTCATGCACGTGTGTACACACACAAACACTTCCAGTTATCAAAAGACATTTTGCTTCATGTGTGTGCCTGTGTGTATGATTGCTGTACCGGTGTAAAAGAATGCAGACAGATTGTAAAAATATATCTATAGCTTTAATGGAAAAAATAGACTTACAGAACCACGGTTCCTGCGGAGACCAGGAAAGCAGAAGTGAGCGGGCGAGCACACTCGCCAGATTTATAGGTAAACATTCGCCCGAGGTGAACTTATCCCTACAGATTGCTATTGCTTTAGAGCAGTGGTTCTCAAGTTTCTTAGTGCTGTGACCGTTTTATATAGTTCCTCATGTGGTTATAAAATTGTTTTCATTGTTACTTCATAACTAATTTTGTTACTGCTATGAAATGTAATATAAATATCTGACATGCAATTCCCAAAGGGGTTGAGACTCACAGGTTGAGAACCACTGCTTTATAGGAAATCCTAGAATACTATGGTTTTCTTTGCCAGTCACTATGGACTAGGTATAGAGACACTATGAATGGCATCAGATCACTGACCATATCAGCAAATGTTCACAAACACAAAGGTTTAAGTAATTTTGTTAGAACAACATAAGCATAGCTTTCAATTTAGATCCTTTAGTATAACAGAATGTCGTAGTAACTTTCTAGGTGACTGGCTTTTGGTAAAGTACCCATATCCACTTCTCTATAGAAAGGTTTATTCACCTGTTCTTCACTAGTAGGTTCGAGTGGCTGGAATATTATTAACTCTGGCCCAAGTAAACACTGCTGTGCCACTGAGGAGTCATTGAAAATGAAATTATTATTACTGTTGTTTGACCTAAAGCTTAACATAGTGTTTTTTTAAAAAATTCTTTTATTCTTTTTTTTTAAAAAAGAGAACTATCTTTTTTCATTTTACACACCAATCCCAGTTCCCACTCCCTCCACCTATCCCACCCCACCCTACCCCCTATCCACTCCTCAGAGAGGGTAAGGCATATGGCTTTGGAGAAGGTCCAATGCCCTCCCTACTATATCTAGGCTGAGCAAGGTATCCATCCAAAAAGAATAGGCTCCCATAAAGCCAGTACAAATAGAAGGGATAAATCCTGGTGTCACTGCCAGTGGCCCCTTAGTCTGCCCCAGTCTTGCAACTGTCACCCACATTCAGAGGGCCTAGTTTGGTCCTATGCTGGTTCCTTCCCTGTATGGAAGTTGGAGTTGGTGAGCTCCCAATAGCTCAGGTAGATTGTTTCAGTGGGTGTCCCCATCATGGTCTTGACCTCTTTGCTCATATTCTCACTCCTCCCACTCTTTAACCGGATTTTGGGAGCTTAGCCCAGTTCTCCACTGTGGGTCTCTGCCTCTGTTTCCATCAGTTGCTGGATGAAGGTTCTATGGTGATATTTAAGATACTCATTAATCTGACTGCAGGGCAAGGCCAGTTCAGGCACCCTCTCCTCTATTGTTTAGGGTCTTAACTGGGATCATCCTTGTGGATTCCTGGGAATTTCTCAAGAGTCAGGTTTCTTGCTAGCCCCATAATGGCTCCCTCAATCAAAATATCTCTTTCCTTGCTCTCACCTCTGTCCTTCCACTATCTCGACTATCCTGTTCCCTCAAGTTCTCCTCCCCCCTTCCCCTTCTTTTTTCCCCTTCCCCTTCCACTCTCCCTTCTCCTTCCATCCCCATGCTCCCAATTTTGTCAGGCAATCTTGTCTATTTCCCCTTTCCAGGTGGATCTATATATGTTTTTCTAAAGGTTCACCTTGTTACTTAGCTTCTCTTGGATCATGAACTATAGGCTCAATGTCCTTTGCTAGCATCCACTTATGAGTACATACCATGTTCATCTTTCATGCTCATCAGGATGTTTTTTCTAGTTCCATCCATTTTTATTGACAGTGACCTTTCAGGGACTTTTCAAATGACTT